GAGTGGAATGATAAAAACATTTATAGATCAACAAACAAAAATGATACAAGATAAAAACATTAAGTATAAACAATAGCAGAAAATATCAGAATAAAGAAAAAAACAAAAATAGATAGAGTGTTATTTCTCATAAAAAAAAAAAAAAAAAAAAAAAAAAAAAAAAAAAAAAAAAAAAAAAAAAAAAAAAAAAAAAAAAAAAAAAAAAAAAAAAAAAAAAAAAAAAAAACAAAAAAAAAAAAAAAAAAAAACCCAAAAAAACAAAAAAAAAACAAAAAAAAAAAAAGAAAAAAAAAAAAAACAAAAAAAAAAACTAAAACCAACCAAACAAAAACAACACCCCACACAAATAAGACAATAAAACAACAAGACATACCCACACCAAACCCAACGCCCCCAGACCCAAAAACCCCCTGCACCCCCCCCCTCCAAAAAAAAAAACACCCCCAAAACCAAACCACCAACAACCACCCCCAAGCCCAGACCACACCCTACAAAACCCAACCAAACAAACAAAACACCACAAAAAAAACAACAACGAAACAAAAACAAAAAACCCCACCCCCACACCCCCCCCCCCCCACCCCCCCCCCCCCACCCCCCCCCCCCCCCCCCCCCACCCCCCCCCCCCCACCCCCCCCCCCCCCCCCCCCCCCACCCCCCCCCCCCCCCCCCCCCCCCCCCCCCCCCCCCCCCCCCCCCCCCCCCCCCCCCCCCCCCCCCCCCCCCCACCCCCCCCACCCCCCCCCCCCCCCCCCCCCCCCCCCCCCCCCCCCCCCCCCCCCCCCCCACCCCCCCCCCCCCCCCCCCCCCCCCCCCCCCCCCCCCCCCCCCCCCCCCCCCCCCCCCCCCCCCCCCCCCCACCCCCCCCCCCCCCCCCCCCCCCCCCCCCCCCCCCCCCCCCACCCCCCCCCCCCCCCCCCCCCCCCCCCCCCCCCCCCCCCCCCCCCCCCCCCCCCCCCCCCCCCCCACCCCCCCCCCCCCCCCCCCCCCCCCCCCCCCCCCACCCCCCCCCCCCCCCCCCCCCCCCCCCCCCCCCCCCCCCCCCCCCCCCCCCCCCCCCCCCCCCCCCCCCCCCCCCCCCCCCCCCCCCCCCCCCCCCCCCCCCCCCCCCCCCCCCCCCCCCCCCCCCCCACCCCCCCCCCCCCCCCCCCCCCCCCCCCCCCCCCCCCCCCCCCCCCCCCCCCCCCCCCCCCCCCCCCCCCCCCCCCCCCCCCCCCCCCCCCCCCCCCCCCCCCCCCCCCCCCCCCCCCCCCCCCCCCCCCCCCCCCCCCCCCCCCCCCCCCCCCCCCCCCCCCCCCCCCCCCCCCCCCCCCCCCCCCCCCCCCCCCCCCCCCCCCCCCCCCCCCCCCCCCCCCCCCCCCCCCCCCCCCCCCCCCCCCCCCCCCCCCCCCCCCCCCCCCCCCCCCCCCCCCCCCCCCCCCCCCCCCCCCCCCCCCCCCCCCCCCCCCCCCCCCCCCCCCCCCCCCCCCCCCCCCCCCCCCCCACCCCCCCCCCCCCCCCCCCCCCCCCCCCCCCCCCCCCCCCCCCCCCCCCCCCCCCCCCCCCCCCCCCCCCCCCCCCCCCCCCCCCCCCCCCCCCCCCCCCCCCCCCCCCCCCCCCCCCCCCCCCCCCACCCAAACATGCACCCGGCCACCCACACCCCAACCACCTCCCAAGCCTCCCCCAAACCCCCCCCAATCCCACCTCCCCACCCCCGCAGTGCGCCGTAGTTCGGCTGAGTGCCACGCCCCTGCCTCACGTACCCAGCCCCCCACTCCCACCAGTGCCCTCCGCCACGATTCCCAACAGCCCCACAATCCTGACACCGTATCCCAATTACTCCGTATTGAACCGGAGTATCATCGAGATACACAACAGTGATTTTCAACCGTGATCATGCCAAAGTTGGTGCGTCCTCTAAGACACTGCGACTATAACTATCAAAATATACTAAGTTTATCATGGACATCTCCCGAAGCCACTATTCTACTATTACTGTCACAGTTGGCCATAAAACTGTTTGTACAGTTGTACATATCTGATCATGCCTAGAATAAAGTATTTATTTTTATATAATTTATATATATATTTTATGAAATACGGATAGTAATAGCGTTCAGGAATATCAACATACTGGTATTTGATAATAATGTAAAAAAATGTCTAGTGGGCCATGCGCTGTGCCCTTTGGGGCCACTACCAGAAGCGAACGACGGGTCCCGCAGAGAATTACGACGAGCCGGCGCAGCGTTTGTAGGCACGCTGAATTCGATTTACTAACCGCGTGCTTGCATGCTAAGTCTTTTTATTTCAGGTGGTGGGTTTACAGCTTTGTCCCTTAATGCTTTTCTTTCCTCATATAATACTCTCCCTGTACTCCTATTCCATTAACTTGCACACATCGCTTCAGCCAATTGTATTCGATTTTCCATATACATTTTTGTGTTCGTGGCATTCCGTGAACTATACTTTCTGACCTCGTGCACTTTGCTAGGACTTGTTTGTAAACAACTTATATACGTATGCTATTTAATTAAGGTTTATATCACCGTTTCCTTATGCATTAATCGAGTTTTTCTCTTTTTCTTTCTCTCTCTCTCAAGTGTTTGGCTGTTGTTTGATATCCCCGGTGTGGCTGCGCTTGATGTGCATGTTGACAAGGTGCCTACCTGTCTATTACCCACTACATCGTCCATACTGGCTCCAGGAGACAGTTGGTCGTTGCTGGAGGGGACGGGAGGCACGGTCCTGGTTGCCGTTCTAGGCTCGAAGAGGGGTTCCATGCATCCAGTGTAGAGCGGAGTAGGGTCCAGCCCCCGCCTTGTGTACACTTGATTCCCAAATACAGTGTGCTTGTGTTTGCCTGTGAATGAGTGTAGGCCGGCTCCGTCGATGAAACGTGGCTTTCCCATCCCATGCCTTCCCCGGTCTTATTTCCTTCGGGTTTACTCCGGATATGGGTTGTGGTGGTTGGAGCTGTGGGTGGCGCGAGCGCAAGCCATCCGATAGGTCCCTCTGTAGGGCGCAGGCGTCCTGTTGGCTTGTCACAGAGACAGGGCAAATCCGAAACCGGATGCCGCCAACCAATTTTGGAAGTAAATGCATATATTTGTTACAAATGTGTGCATTTACACTTTTGCAATTGTAACACGATAAGAAATGGCATTGATGCTGCTTCAATCTATTCCTGCTTATACGTTTATTTAGGAATACATTTGTACACTTAATATGGTAGCACGGATAAGCAGTATTATGCGGTATAACAGGGCTTTACGTTATTATGCTTCGCCAAAATTGCCTAATGCCATTTCCAGTAACTGGACGTCACTGTACAAAAGTGTACCTTCTTTTCAAATCAGGGATCTATTTTGACTTTTATATATGTGTTTGAATAAATAACTAATTATGTGCCTGCCAGTTGTCATGGAGGTTAACCATTATCTGTAATTAAACGTCTCAAAATATCCGGAATAGAAGAAGTAGGTTACACATTTCATGAATATCATAATACGGTTATTATGAATAACCCTAAGGAAACTTTATTAGGTGCAGTATATGCAGAAATTAGACGAAGCGTAACCAATAATAGGACGGCAAAGGAAAGAGGAAGGAAAGCCTTTAATACGATTGACATGATTTCATACAAGCATCCCACATATATACGAAGGACCATATTTTGCTTTATGTTCCTGCAATGGCGAGGGTTGAATAGTAAGGCCATCTGATTACCACACAGGTGGCATTTGATTTGCACTCAACGTGACTCTATTGTTGGCCGCGGTTGGCTGCGTGAGCAATGCATGGAAAAGTATCATAGGTTCTATGGAAGTAGTGTCATAATGGTCATTAAAGAGGTATCCATTTTTGGCTTCACTGGGGAAAGGAATGGCGCTTAGTGGGCCTACGCATGTTTCCCAGGGAAACCTAAATATGGCCTGCAGCTGCACTTCTGTACTCCGCTCTATGAGCCCACATGGACGGCCTTCACGTAGCCTATGTTTATCTATTGACATTTGCATCGATATAGGCACTAGGAAAGCCTCATGTATTGGCTGCGCACGCCTTGAAGGCTTGCTTTTAGTAAGGGTATATTGGTCGCAGATCATTAGTGTCCTTATGGGCACTGGCGTATCCGTAAGTGTTGGAACTATAGTCTCTAAGTATGGGTATTTACTAAGCTCATAATGTCCCCACAGCCGTGGCGCGGGAATCGTCGCTGATGAATCAGATAAGATTGAATCTGCGCGTCGCCAAGAATGGTTTTAAACTTGCCCATGACAGGGGCATTATATTTGGGAATTGGCAAGGCTTTGCGTCATACAGCTTCATGACTGATACTAAATAAGTCAATTTATGTCTCACGCCGGTGACATCATACTCGGCACGGAGGAGGACTCCAATGTAAGCCCCGCGGGCCTCCATAAGTAGTGCTTATGCAGTGCATATAGGTCGTGTAGCATGCATTATAATTGGTAGGAGGGACGCCACAGAGATATCCTTAGGCAGTGCGCCCAGAACGAATTCAGTAAATGGGCTTTGTTAACGGTAATGATACAAGTAGTACCGGATCACATGGCCTTCCATTTGTTTCTGTCATGGTCTGCAACTGCGTTGCATGCATTAGGCTGCGTAATCGTGAAAATATGGAAATGCTAACAATAAAGAGGCACAAAAGGAACGCTGACGTCTGCATCGAATCCGAATATCTATGTCATCATGGGGAGCGCGTGAGGCGCGAACACTGAGGATTGGTTTGTAGATATGTCTCTCGTAGACACACATGAAAGCAATATGCATGTAAGTAACGCAGCGTTGACTTACTTAATCACATGGTTAGGATGCGGTGCACCTCCTGGTAGTGGTGTGTATCCTTCATGTCAACGAGTTCTTAGAGGAAAGTACCTTGAAATAAGAAGCCGGTGGGTTGATGATAAAAGTAGGAGCACCTTTCATTGCGGTGTCAACAATCAACCGGAGATGAGGGTGTATACGGACGACTGCATGATGGAAGTTACAGATACAACAATTGTCAACCTTATGGTCTGGCACTATCCCTTACGTTGTTTGCAAGTTTGCTTCGGATATGGTGTGGTGTCTATTTATGCCCCACCAAAACCAGTGCAATGCAGTAGTTTGCGGACAGGCGGAAGAGGTGTTTCACACCAGCAGCCGCACACTGCCTACAAAAGTGCTAACGGAAAACAACGTTTTTACCGGGTGTTGTGAGATGGGCACCGCACACCTATTGTATGGTTGGTCTAGATTAATATGCAACCGTAGAAGACAATACGAATAACATTTGGTCTACATGTGCAGTATTGGGTCTATGAGGAGTAGGTAACTATAGCTTACCGGTTTATGCATTGGTTATCTCTTGTTCAGTGTTTCTGGTGCAACGGTGGGTGACAAAATGACCGATGGATGAAGCAATAAGTGAAAAGTCGTAAGTAAAGAGGTGGTTATTGAAGGGGAAAATGTTGGCTTGCAACTCTGATGTTGTCCGAAATTCCCGGAAAAGGCTACCACAGCAGCTTCACGCAGTAAGCAAGTGGACTGTGCA